TTGGGGCTGACTTTTTCTGCCCACCTCTGCCCCCAAAGGCGTGCATTGGCCGTAGCCCTATCCGTCCTCCTCCCGAAGACACGCTGTGTTTTGCTGGGCAGATGGGTTATGAATGAAGGCTTCTATTACTGCAGAGCGCTGAAGGAAATACCAACCCGCGTACCGAGAGGGAGTAACTTTGTGTATGTGTATTTATAGGGGATCCTACTGAAAAGAGGGTTGTAGTCTCTCTCCGGAGCTACCACCCGGGTATTGTGAAATTAACAAGCCCGGGTCCTTTCCCGCGGCGCGCTTTGGATTGTAACTGGATTCCTCCAGACGTGTTTTATTTTAATGTTCGTCAAAACGCACGTGTTGGAAAGTTGTCAGCTGACTGCCACACGCTTCCCCCCCCCCCCTCCCCCTAGCTGCTTTTGTCTGCCACTAACCCCACCCGCTTCGTCTACCTGTCTCCCTTACAGTCTCTGCCTCTCTGTTTGCGCCAGTGGCTTAGAAACGTTGCCATCTTCAGCCATGTCTAGAGAAGGGAAGACGCCCGGGGACTTGAGACGAGATATGCTCCTCATTGCTCAATCCGCTTCCTTGTGGCTCTAGAGGGACCCATCCTCGCTAAGGATTTGCCTTAGACGTGCTGGAAGACCTCAGGTTAGCGTCTTATAGATCCCCACTGCAGAAACAAACTTTCCGCCTCTGGCCGCGCAGAAAACGTTTTCCTGATTTATCTTGGCAGCGAGCACTTGTTTTAAGCCTCGGGGAATCCATGCTAATTATTCCACACCAGTCATTCTTTCAGCTCCTAGTTTCTGGAATTGTCTAGCTTTTCCATCTCCCAATACATATTCTCTCTTATTCAGCGCGCTCCCCCATCAGCCTCTTTGCTCCTTCTTTCCAACATTTTAAAAAATCAGATCTGGGGACATTTGGGGGGTATTCATTAACTTCGTGAGGAGGAACAGAGGCATTGTTACTCAAGTAGGAGGCACCCTGCCCCAAGAGTATCTAAGAGTTCATTGTAAAAGGATTAAAAGTTAAAGACCTTCATCTTATGATTCTTTCATTTAATCTTCGTGGCGCCTGAAAGACATGCTGGATGGATGATCACATATAAAATATTCCTAATGTCGGCTACCTTAGGACTCCAGGCAGAGCAAACAAACGTAATTTATTTCTAGAAGAAAGGGGATATTGAGATGTTTAAATTTCTGAACCGCCCTTACCATGTATGTTTGTTAGGTTCTGACAAATACCCAAATAACATTAAAATCAGCCATTCATCACACATGCATTTATGCAAAACTTTCTGTGCCTGGGGCCAATGGTGGTTTTTTTTAGACAAGACTTTCACTTGCAAACAAACATTTGTTAAAAAACCTGAAAGGTAGATATTTCATGACTGGTAAACAGGGAAAATATGTGAACAGAAACTATTTCATGTTGGTTTGGCAGCCAGAGATTCGGGGATGTGAACAAAAGTTCCCTGGAGGTTGAAATTGTCATTGGATGATAATGCAAGGTCCTTTCTCCCATTAGCAAACCTACCTGAAGTAATATTGCCACTTTATTATCATTATCTACTCCATTCACATGTCTGTAACTGGAGCAATTACTGCAGAGAGACCTCATCTAGAAACTACCACTGATATGTTGGCTAAAGGTTAAAATGATGGGGGTTGGGAGAGAATGTATTGTACATGCCTGAGTGTTATTTTTTATCCTGGCAACATCCCTTTAATCAGAAATCAGTTGTGGCTTCAATACATATCCCTTCATTATTAATACATCATAATTAGTAATAACTTTTAATAATATTAAATGGGACCACCCAAAAAACAGATGTTCCTGTAACCGGTTTTTACTTCCAGGCACAGGAAAAATTGCTAGTCAGTTTCATTCTGGATAGTGATCAGTTTCATTTTCTGGATTTCCTGCCTTGCAGCTGCAATACTAGGTACTTCAGGCCAAACAAACAAACACAAATCTTTCTGATCTCATTCATATTTAGGCAAACATTTTCTTGATATTAAATTTTGTAAAATTCCTGAACTCAGGACCCTTTCACCTGACATCAAGTCATTTGTATGTTGTCCTTCATATGTGGTTCCACAAGAGAGACTTTACAGAGACATTTATAAGCAGAATATAGAAATAAATAGAAAAGGAAAAGGTAAAAGTAAAATATAAGGTGTCTCTCACATTGTTACAATCTTAAAATACAATAGACTATTAAAGGGCAAAAAGCAAAGGGCTTAAATTGCAACAAGGAAGGTTTAGGTTGGACATTAGGAAAAGCTTCCTAACTGTCAGGCTGGTTAAGCACTGGAATAAATTGCCTAGGGAGGTTGTGGAATCTCCATCACTGGAGACATTTAAGAACCCGGTAGCTAAACATCTGTCAGGGATGATCTAGAAGATGGTGCTTGGTCCTGCCGTTAATGCAGGGGACTGGACTTCATGATCTCTCAAGGTCCCTTCCAGTTCTAGTTTTCTCTGATTCTACACAGTGTGCAGTGGCGGTCAAAAAGGCAAATAGGATGCTAGGAATTATTAAGAAAGGGATAGAAAATAAGATACAGAATATCTTACTGCCCCTGTATAAAACTATGGTACATCCACATCTTGAATAGTGTGTACAGATGTGGTCTCTTCACCTCAAAAAAGATATTTGGGCCTTGGAGAGGGTTCAGAAAAGGGCAACTAAAATGATTAGGGGTTTGGAACGGGTCCCATATGAAGAGAGGTTAAAGCGACTGGAACTTTTCAGTTTAGAAAAGAGGAGACTGAGGGGGGATATGATAGAGGCATATAAAATCATGAGTGGTGTGGAGAGGGCGGATAAAGAAAAGTTATTTATTAGTTCCCATAATAGAAGAACTAGAGGACACCAAATGAAATTACTGGGTAGCAGGTTTAAAACTAATAAAAGAAAGTTCTTCTTCACACAGCGAGTAGTCAACCTGTGGAACTCCTTGCCAGAGGAGGCTGTGAAGGCTAGGACTATAACAGAGTTTAAAGAGAAGCTAGATAATTTAATGGAGGTTAGATCCATAAAAGGCTATTAGCCAGGGGGTAGAAATGGTGTCCCTGGCCTCTGTTTGTCAGAGGCTGGAGCAGAATGGCAGGAGACAAATCGCTTGATCATTGTCTTCAGTCCACCCTCTCTGGGGCACCTGGTTCTATCCACTGTTGGCAGACAGGCTACTGGGCTAGATGACCTTTGGTCTGACCCAGTATGGCCGTTCTTATGTTCTTATGAAAAGATTTTATTTCCATTTTCAGTATATCACAATTTTTTAGCATGGAACTTAGCAAGTTTAATCTCTCTGTGCCTCAATTCCTCATCTGTAAAATGGGGGTAATGGGGGATACTTCTCTTCTCGCTCACTTTATCTGTCTAAATAGTTCTTCACCAGGAGAGTTTACTATCTCACACTATGTGCTTGTATAGCATACAGCACCAGAAGGCCTGGTTTTGATTGGGGCGTTAGATAACACTGAACGCTTAGTCCATCATCTTTGCCACTGCAGGATTATTTCTTGCTTTATGTTGGCTAATACGATGCTGTTCCACTTGTCAGAATTAACATGCCATTTTAAAGAAAGTTGCACTGTATCTTGCACTTTAAAAAATAAATAAATGATACGTAGGTGAAAATAAAAAACAGAGGTAATGTTAAGTAATATTTAGGATAAGAAAACTCAAAATAAGACCATTCTAAAAACACTAGCTCTGTGCAGGAAAAACAAACTGGGGAAAGCAAAGGGCACAAAGTGTTAATATAAGGTGTCCTCACACCCAAATTTAAATAATCCTGGAAACCTGTGTTTGATTGATCATTACTGTGTAGTTCACACAGCCCTCTTAGCCCTAGTCTGCACTAGGGAGTTATTTCAAAATAATTTCCCAGTGTAGACATGCCCCTAGT